GCCCTAGAATCTTTCAACAACCAGATGGAGAGGAGCAACCTGCTGAATGTGACAGTTTGAATTTCACGTGAAGGAGAAACTTCCTAAGTGTAAAATCAGTGAGATTCAGGGTTGGCCAGGAAGGCGCTGCTCAAGGTACCAAGTCCCGTGGGAGAAAGCCACCTTCCCGGAGGAGCCACCCTGGTTGTAGGTATTTGGTTGTTCAACTCCAAGTTTTGCACGTTATCTGGGTAACAACCAAAGGATGGTCAGTTCTCTAGACAAGCACAAGAGCTCAGATGGCTAGCAAGCGCTGGCCTAGTATCTGGCAAGCTCCCCACAGACTGTGCCCAAGCTTGGCTGCCTGAGCTGACTGCCTCTGCTTTCTGGACAATGGAACAGCACTTCTGCCTGGATGCCACAGGGAACGACTCAGATTACCCAGGCAGTAGTAGCCTAGGTTCAAACTATATCCTGTCAGTCTGCAGAGTTTCGTCTGTCCCTATCTTCAAGCCTCAGCCATTCCTACAGAGAGAATTCACAGGAACTTTGCCACCAAAGTGGGCAAAGTAAAAGCTCTTCCATTACAACTCAGGGCACTTCCTGACAAGATAGGGGCCAAAAGAGGCTCCTCATGTGCTGCTGGCTTCTGGTGGGGAAGGACTGGCGGACCTGTGCCTGAGGTGAAGATGCTTCTGTCCCCCTGCCGCGGCAGACTCCTTTCCTTTGGTGAAATCTCCAGCACTCTACGTGTTCCTCTTCCCATCTCTTGTCATTTTCCTCCCGGCACAGAGATTTTTCTACGCAGGTGGCGAGGCCCTTCCAGACTTGCAGAGAGGCCAGGGCTTTTGAGTTCTGAGCCACTAGAAAGAAATGACAAAATGTGAAAACTCAGCAGAGCATACTCAAAGGAAAACAAAAGCCACGCTGCTCTTGCCTTGGGCGGTGCACGGACACAAAGGAGAGCCTGGCTTGCACACCATGTCGTGGTGTGTGCTAAGACAAGGCCAGTCCAGCGCAGGAAATTATCTGGGTCTGAATTGGAGGTGCCTTCTGAGCCGCCTTGTGAACCAAGTCCCTTGTCAGATCACCCTGCTCTTGTCCCTGTGGTCCCCTCCCTGCCTGGTCGCCGCCATCAGACTCACAGAGCCAAGTGAATGGAGGGGTAGTGAGGGGGGGGGGGACACTCTGGGGTGTGTACTTGGGGCCAGCAGCTTGGATTTGTGACCTCTTCTGGGGGATCTTGGATAAGCCACTAAGTCACAGTTCTATACAACCGGTTGAGGCTGATGGTACCCACCCAGATCTGCACTCCCACAGTGACAGAATTCTCACACACGGGCTGCTCAGATAGACAATCCCCAGCCCTGGTGAGGTAAGGTCATGTGACTACATTTCCACCAAAGGACTGTTACGAGTCTCAGGGGCCACTTCTGGCTCAGGGATTTATTGGGTACTCTTCCTTCCTGTCCTCTTTCTCCTTCCAGTTTGGCTGGAACCAGGTGTGGTGGCGATTCAGCTATGGCCGTGGAGAAGATGCTAATGGCCTAAGGGGTGGCCGGGCAAGTATGAGGGAAGGGTCAGGAGAGGGCTTGGGTGGCCCTGATTCCACCCCCAGTGGTATGAATGAACGCGCAGCCAATGTTGGGGGTGCTGGCTGAATCATGCCAGGTCTTACATGCAGAAGAAGTGGGGGTTTATTTCCAAAGCTAGAGGGAGCTTCTGGGGGTTTTAATCACATTTTTCTTTCTCCAGAAAATCACTGGATTTGACGATGGCGAGGGGAATATGGCAGAAGACTAGGGTTAGAGAAACTGGTTCAGGAGCAATGATGCTCACGAGGAAGGGACTCCGTGGAGTTAGAATGGCTGCTGACAAGTGGACAGATATGAGGCCTAGTGAATGACGGGCTCAGTGGGAGGATGGGGAAGAGGCGAGAGGACAGAGATGAGCCCCTGAACACACAAGTCTGAACTCCTGAGAAGGCTCCAGCTGGAGAGTCAGCAGCAGAGAGAGAACTGATGGGCCCTCCTGGGAAGAAGGGTAGAAAGCAAGAAGAAAAGGGCCTAGAACAAAGTCCCAGGAAACCAGGGGGTGCCCTTGCCAAGAGGCTGAGAAGAGCTGTGCAGAGACGGAAGAGAAAAACCACTGCACGCATGTCCAAGATGCGAGGATGTGACTGCAGGAAACAGGCTCGCAAGAGCGTCCGATTCTTCTGGGATCTGTCCCCGGGTCACTAGCGTCCCTGACGGTGAAGATGGATGAAAGCCAGTGAGATGCAGAAGCAATGGTGACAACAGGCAGCCCTAACAGGGTAACCATTGCTCCTCTTCTCCATGTTGGGTGAAAATGTGTTTATTCATTTATTCTGTAAAGACTTTATTTATTAAGCACCGAATGGGCTGGGGACACTATGTTGGGGGCTGTGGATAAAATGGTGTGGCTCTCACTTGCTAGGAGGGGCCAGGTACTCTCGCCCATGTCACACGGCTAGCAAGGCTGTGATGGAAAGCACATCAGCGTCTTTGGGACACAGCATGATCAACGCATCTGAGGATGAGGAAGGAGCAGGCAGGAGAGGGCTCGGAAGGCAAGGAAGGGAAGCAAGCCTATCAGGGTGGGTGTCACTGGGGCTGCCCCTTGCAGAGCTCAAGTCTTCCCTTCCAGAATGGCATTTCTGGACCTCCTCAGAGCTTAGTGAGGCCACATGACTCGCCTTGGCCAATGGGTGGTGAGTGACAGTGAACAAGTCACTTCTGGGCCGGAGCATTCAATGGTCAGCACCACAGCCTGCCGATGGTTCTTTGCTCCCTGGCACGGAGGCCCAGACTGGCAGCTCTCAGGTATGTACATGACTCCTCAGTGCACCCTGCTCTTGACAGACCAGAGGCAGCAGCCTGAAACAAACTTGTGTTGTTTGAGTCTTAGTTGTCCTGTTATTACAGCACAACCGAGGCAAACGGTTCTTGAAATGCGGTCCCTGAGTCAGCTGTATCAGCTTCACAGGATGTGCTGGAAATGCAAATTTTCAGGCCCCACTTTACTACAACAGAAGCCCTGGGGTGGCAGTCACAATGCCCCTGGACTGCCAGCAAACCTTCCACTGGAGACTGAGGCGTATGCAAGTTAGAGAGCTGCAGCCTAGCTGGGGCAGACCGCCACAGCCATCATACAGGGTAGAAGGCATGAGAAATCACACAGAAGGTCATTCTAGCAAACTTCAAAACTATAGGGAAAACACTGATTAAACAATGAGCCCATGTGTCATGTGAAAGGATTTTTAAGAAAAAAAATACTGTGCTCATCACCCATGGACTCAGTCATTCCATCAAAATGGCTAAAACGGGCCACATAGTCTCTCCTACTGCACCAAGTCAGAAGAAAACACGACGGTAGAAAGAAACACTCCACGTCCAAAGGCACCACAGCTAGGTACCAGGATCCACCCAGGAATGCACTTCCCTTTGTGCCCGTGGCCTTGCTCATTTAGAAAATGCTCCTGAATTCTCTGAATCTGAAAGGCACTTGAGACCCAATTCCCTCTGCCACAGGGTTAGTCATTAGTGCTGTAGCCAAGGCTGTTTTGTAATGGGCACTATTTACGTGAAGCAGAAAGTACAATTTCAAATTGCTTTTTAAACTGTCAAATAAAAGAAATCCATTTGTGCATGTGAAATTATCCCAAAGGTTCTAACTATTAACTGAAAGCAGGTGAAAAATGTCAAAGAGAAAAAATGTTCTATTTGAGAGCTAGTGAAATGTTTCAAGGCAAATACCTGATGACACTTTTGACCCGCTTTGGATTCAAAAATATCTATTTTCACTGTCCTAGGGGAGCTCCATGAACAGAATTTTAAGAAAATATTAAATTCCAGGGGGGAAAAAGATGCTAATTTCTTTATTGGTACTGTTTTAACCAATCTGACCCAAACACTGTCTTGTAAACAGGGCAACTGCCTGGTATCACTTACACTTTTCCCCCCTCGGCTTAAATTTGATGTTGAGGGCCTTATCCAAGCAGCTTTGCAAGTAACATATGTAGCACTATTTCATGGTCTTCTATTAGTTATCCATGACTGCATCTGGGTACCACCCAGTTAATGAGAAGGAAATCTGCAAATGTAGAGAAAAGTGCCGTGTCAGGGGTCTGCTTGGTAGAGGGCACCGCATTGGAGGGAGGGTCTCACTCAACCGAAGGCATCTCTGCAGACAGAAAAGGAACCCCGGCCTCTTCCATCTCACGTCCTCCAGGGGTTTCCCTCGCAATTAGTTTTGTGTTCATGCCTTTAGTATCTTTGTTGGTCTTGAAATAATGCTGCTGAAAATTATTAGAGAACCTTCTCCTTACAATCTAGGCACCTCTAACCTGTGTCTCTATGCCAGGCAAACACAAGCAAAACACAAGCTTATTCAGTCCAGAGGGAAGCTTGCAGGTTGTAGCCAGCAAGGGGCATTGAGACCAGCTCAAAAAGGAAACTCTTCACACACTTGAATGTGCACACAAATCTCCAGGGGATCTTGTTTAAAGTGCACACTTTGGCCCGCTAGGTCTGGGTGGAACTGTAGAGTCTGCATGTCTCACAAGCTCCCGGGCAATGCCCATGCTACTGCTGCCACAGAGTGGCATAATAAGCAGTGAAGAAATATTGCACATTCTGCAAAACAGTGACTGTAGAACCCTACTTAACAGCATTTATCCAAGGGTCCAGCTCCATTTGATTTAGGGTTCCTTGAAAGCAGAGACTGAGTCTTAGACATTCTCTCCTCGTATTTCCCTGGCTGGCACTTGGCATGAGGCCTGCGCATGGTGGGTATCTATTTAATTAAACAGACTTGGCCTTGTTCCAAAAGGGATTTTAAGTGGATTTAACCCTTAGTAGACCCTAAATGGCACGTGATAAGTTGGTCAGGGGAGGAAGTGAGGCCTGGAGGTCCTTCCCCATAAAGGTCCCCTCCACCTGCCTGTACCTGGATTACACCTCCCCGTTCTCCTTGGAAAATTTTCCTCCTGCCCCATTTTTAAAAGCGGTTTACACTAGAGGGCCGATGTGAAAAGAGGAAGAAAAACAAAACAAAACCAGAAAGCACTGCGAAGCGCTGAGGCTCCGGAATATCTCAAAAGCTCAACTCTCGGTGGCAGAGCTGCAGAACTCATCCTGCCTGTCTCCAGGGTTCTGCAGGTCGGTGTCTCGTGTCCACCACCCAGATCCCCCGCCAGCCCCAGGGGCCTCACAGAAGCGGATCCCGGCGGGCGCGGGTGCCTGTTGGCTTGGTGCAGCCTGTTTGTTAGCTGTGCGCTAGCAATTAACCTTCTTAGGCATCTCCCGTCTCCGGGAGTGGTGGGGTGATGGGCCTGGGGTCGCCCTTAGGGTCGTGGGGGATTCCGGGTAGGAGTTACTGCTGTGTAGAAACCCTCTTTCGAGGGTCCCCAGCGGTGCCATAACCGGTTTTCGCTGCAGCAGCAGCGGACAATAAAGAGCGAGCTCATTAGGCTCCACAGGGGAGGAGGGAGAGAAAAGGGGGGAAGGGGATTACAGTGTATTGGTCCGGTCAGCGGGCCTCGCGGGGAAGGGCGGCGCGCACCGGCGAGCGCGCCCGAGGGGACGAGTACACGTGCTGGGGAGGGCGGGGGGAGGCGGCGGGGCGGGGGGAGGCGAAAGCAGCTCGCGGGAGGCGCCTCGGCCTCGCAGACGCCAGCGCCGGCAGGCAGCCGAAGAGTCGGAGAGAAAGTTCCCGGGGAGAGCGCGCCCCCAGAGGAGGCCGACTTGGTGGCCGCTGCCGCCGGGAAGGTCGCAGGTCCCTTCGCGCCCGGTGCGCTTGGTCGCCAGGGCTCTGCTCGCCGGGAAGCGGCGGAGCGTAGGGGCGGCCGCGGCTAAACTTGGAGGCGGCGGCGGCGGCGGAGGAGCGCGAGGAGGATGCTGCGAGTGGGCGCGGGGGCGCGGGGCGCGGGGGCGCACTGAGTGCTCCCGCCGGCTCCGCGAAGCGGGCAGGTAGCGGCTCCAGCGCCCGGACTGCGCCAAGCCTGCAATCCGGGGCCGCCAGCGCCACCGTGCCGGCGTCGCCTCCTCGCCACGGAGCCATGGTGCGCGGAGCGCGCACGCCACGCGCGGGACTCTGAGCTGCGACCGCGCGGGCGCCTCCACCAGGACTGTCTGTTCGCGAGACCTCGCTCCCCGCCGACCTTGCTCACGGTCCATGAAGCTTTGGCCCGGAACCTCTCGCGACTGAGCTGCGCAGCGCCCGTTCCAGCTCCAGCGCAGCTCGGCCACAGGCAGCGCTCCGCGCCCTGAAGCTCTCCATCCGTCCTCTCCCAGGGACGGCACCCGGGCGCTGCGATGGCGCTCCGCGGGACTCCTCGGCGGCGCAAAGTTCGCGGGCGGAGAGAGATGCTACCGCAGCAAGTTGGCTTCGTGTGCGCGGTGCTGGTCCTGGTGTGCTGTGCGTCCGGCCTCTTCGGCAGCTTAGGTAGGTGCGGATACCAGCCTCCTCTTCCCCAGGTGTTGGGGGGGCTTGAGTCGGGAAGCCGTGGGACAGCTCCCGCCCTGTCCTCCTCAGGTGGGTCCCCAGGGTTTCCCAAGTCCCCTCCCTGCCGGTAGGCAGGGTGCACCCAGGAGGGCTGATAGACACTGAGCTAGGCTTCTGCCGAGCTGTGCGCGGCCCCAGGGGGCCCAGGACGCGTCTGCAGGTGCGGGTTACTAAGACAGAAGCCTGCACAGCCTCTGTCCCTGGAGTTCAGGGAGAGGGGCAGCGCCGCGCCGGGCAGGGGCGGGCATCTCTTGCACCGCGTGGGTGAGATGAAGGGTCCGCTTTCCCATTCTGTAGAGCAGCAAGGGCTGCGCTTTGAGTCCTTCAAAGACCCAAACTTAGAGGCTGGAAACTGGTCCTGGGTCTGGACTCTCCCAGGTTCCCTTCCCTGCCTGGGTCCAAAAAGGTGCCTGGGTTTTGTGACGTGCCTTCCCCAAACCCTAAATACACTGGGCAGTCTGTACCCGCGGGGTATTGCTGCCGTGTTTCAGCATCCCTGCATTCAGCTCCTCTTAATCCCCGCGGAAGGGGAGGGCTGTTTTGCACTCTGGCCTCCTCCAAGAAGAGACAGGGTCTTGGAGTCTCCTAGGATACGCACCCTTCAGCAGGCCCAGGGAAAGAGCAGAAACTTACCCCGTGTCTGTTGGGGAAGGTGTGCCCACAAGTCACCTTCAGGGGACATTCGTTGCCACCATACTCTCGTTTTGAGTTGGCTGCTGTGAACCTTTTATTTACTTTTTTCAATGTTGAAAGAAAGAAAGAAAGAAAGAAAGAAAGAAAGAAAGAAAGAAAGAAATGCTAGTGGTTTAGCCAGCAAGTCGTGGAAGAACAGCAGATGGTTGTCCTGAGCAGATAGAAAGGCCTTTGGTGTCTAGGGACCATTTAGAGAGATTTACAACCATATGTAAAAATCAAATAAATCAAATGAAAATTGATTAAACTACCAAAAAAATTTTTTTTCCAAAGCCCAGACTTTATGATTTGAGGATAGAGAATTAAAATTTGGCTCTTTCAAAACAAACCCAGAAAGTTTGTTGTAAACATCTTAATATCTATTGCCATGCAGTTGGGCAAGTCAGTGCTTTTTTTCAGGTCCACACCACAAATACCAAAATGCCTAGAGGTTCCTAGGCATCAGCATTCTAGAAGAGGTACCTTTATCCTCCTAAAAATGTGTACCAGGAGAGGGAAATGAGTGTGTGGAGATCTACCGTGAAGGTATCCTTATTGGCTGGATCAGAAATTACCTTCCTTTCTGCCTTTGGTAACAGACCACCTCCTCTCCTCCCATGTCACTCCTTGTGGCCCTTAGAGCCAGCAGTATCAGCAGCTTGTTACCGTAGACTCAAAGTCCCACCAAGACCTGCTGGACCAGAATCTGCATTTGACCAAGGTCCCCTGTGTTCTGAGTGAACATTCAAGTGGGACCAGTCCCAAGCCATTCTCCTCAGCTGTCTACCTGTTTGCTAACTTACCATCTGCCTGCTGGTTCCACCATGGCAGGGGCCACCTGAGTGTGTTTACTGAACGAGAAATTAATGGTCACTTAACCAAATCCTATGTTGCACCTGTGAGAGGCTGAGACCAGCTCAGTCTTACTCAGATTATGTACCGACCCTTCTGAGACTAAAAACAATGAATTAAATCCAAGTAGAGAGTGTGGTAAGTAGGCAGGTGGTAGCATACTTCAAATCATTGTATGCTTTCCCTACAGGGGTCTCTAAACAGCCAAGCAGGGCTGTTGCTGCCTTAGCTGGATGCACATACATATGTAAGGTCACTGAGAATGCAGGCTTGGCATTGACTAATGATGTCTCTGACTAATTTCCCAATCCAGGGCACAAAACAGCTTCTGCAAGCAAACATACTCTACAAGACACATGGAGAAACAGAAAGCTGATGGCACCTGTGAACGGGACTCATACGGCTAAGAACTGCACAGATCCTGGTAAGAAATACATTTGTCTCTCTACTTTTCGAACGTGGCTTGGCCTGGAGATGGTGCTTATTGGACAACTCCAGCTAGAGCCAGGAGAGGTGATTTTAGGAACCTGTGAGTAGGGTGGTGAGAGGTAACCGCAGACATTCATCAGCTGGGCTGCTGAGCAAGGTGAGTGCTTTCTTAACCCAACAGCTATGGTCACACTCAAGAGTTTGAAATTCGTGTCCCTTGTTCTCACAGTGCCCTATGCTTTCCATGCTCTCTTGTGTTATTGATTCCCCTAGTTTCTTTGTTTTTGGCCCTTTTTGCTTACTGTACACATTTGATGGAGCTCAAGAGGCAACAAATCCAGCCACTCTGGCAGATGGCGCTTTGGGGTGGCCTTCCTGGGTCAGAGCACACTGGGGTAGCTGCAGCGGGACACTGGGATGTGTAGCCTTTCTCTGGAGTGATGGCCCTATGATGCCCTGCTGCCCCAGGAGAAGCCGTCCACCCTGTTCCTCTTCATAAGTCTCTTAATGGTCACTGGAGGACGTCTTTCCTGTTCCCCCACCATATTCAAGCTTTGCTTAAATAAGTGAAGGTTCTTGAGAGGAGAGAGTACCCACAGGGAGCCAGGCCCCCCACAGGGCACTTGTAGGCATTAAGTCTGGTCTAACACTTGAGGTCTTTATGAGGAAGATCCAATAAGGAGATGTATTCAAAAGCCTGGAGGGGATGATAAAGTTGTATTATAAGCAGCTTTTTTGCCAAGTTCCTGGCAAATCACATGCTCTTTTGAAGGCACTGTTTTGCCTTCTGTGAAATGGATAGAAGAGTACTTGCCTGCTCAGCATCAGAAGAGCCCAGTAAGGCTCTGTGTGTTTAAGGAGACTGTGAGGGGAAGGAGCAGGTCTGGACAGCAGTCTTCCTGTGTTTTATGTCACCCTCTGTGAGCCAACTGTGCCTATTTTACAAGTTAGGAGAGGTCTGGGGAGGGGGCACAGATTGCTCAAAGCCACAAAAGTGATGAAGCTGGCTTTGGAACCAGATGTCTCATTCATTCATTGAGCTTAAAAAGGCTGAGGTCATCTCTCAGGGCTGCTGGACATTTCCTGCACCACTGACCTCCCTCCCCAGGGGCCAAAGGACATTTGGGATACGGAGGAAGAGACCGCCATTTGCAGGGACGTGTTGAGATTCTGCTGCCGAGTGGCTCCATCCATCTGGTGGCCCCATAGGTGCTAGTGTCTTACTTTCGCTAACCTCAGCCAGCACATCTTTCCAGAGAGACAAATGCACAGGCTGCCCTGCCCTTGTCATGGTAAACAAGCATAGGACTGGAGAAGCTAATGTGGGGCCCGCCCTGTCACCTCAGAGACCTGAAGTGCTACTATTGGGGTCATCCACATGAGATGACATTACTGCTCTGCAGAAGGATCGGTTAGGGACGTTTTGGCCCTGTTCTGGTTCACTGGTGCTGTCCTCATGGGCTCGCTGTGCCCTCCTCTGTCCCCTGAGTAACTTCTGTCCCTTGGACCTGATCATGTTGTCTGAGCCTGGGTCCCATGTCTAATGCTAGGGTTCTCCTGTGCTCTATCATGGTCTCTGTATCTTCTGCGTCCTGTCTGATCAAAAGGTGTCCAATAGACATCTAAAGCAGTCTGTACTATTTGGCAAGAAGGCCTGACCTTGTCCCTCTTATGGAGAGAGAAATGCAGGGAAATTGGCAGTGTCTTTAGCAATGATTAACATTTGCATTATGCTTTGTGTTGACTGTTTCCGGAATAGAGCTGGCCACACAGAAAGGACTCAGTAAATATGGGTCAAACGAGGAGGAAAGTCCATTTCTGCTATACCTCATACTTCAGTTGTTATTGTGTTTGTGCAAAAGCAGAAACACAAAGCTCAGGAGTTCAGTGCTTCTGAGATCTCTGGGGCAGGAGGCACCTCCTGGGTTACCTGCCATGCCCCCCCCCTCCACCACACCAGCCCCTCATCTCCTTCCTTCCTTTCCAGCCTCCCCATCCCGAGGCTGTCTGCCCCTTCGCATTCCACACCAGAGCAGGCACCTGGGCCCTGTCTCCAGCCCACACACAGGTTGGATTGGGGAATGAATGTAAGCAGGTGCTGGGTGCAGCCTGTCACAGGAAGGAGCTTCCAATAGAATACAGCAGAAGAGATCTGGACAGGTTTCTTGACCTGAGGTGATGATGAAGAATAGCCAGTTCCCATTCAGCAGCCTCGCAGGAGGCTGAAGGTGGGGAGCTGCCCCTATGGAGTTCTGGGTCTGATGCAGTAGGTGACGATCAGACCAGCCTCTCTTGCAATACCAGAATCCTTCACCAACTGAAGTTAGCAGGAAAAAAAAACAATACTGGAAGTGTAGGACCAAAGGTTCCGAAAGTGGTGTCCATGACTCAGTTTCTCTCTGTTGCTGAGTTTGGTTGTGTTCTACTGTGGGAAGATTAGGTCCAAGGTCCAACCTGAGGTTCTCCCAGACTCAGAAATGCTGGAAAGACTGTGTCCAGGGCTGAGCTACTCCACAGGGTTCTACCGAGTTGGGTTGTCTTGGTCATATGACGACTCTAAGCCAACTTCTCGGGGCCAGAGGAATGCTGGACCCTGACCTGGCTTACACTTGGGCCGCAGGGTCCATCTCCAGAGAGGGTGAAGCCACCTTTCTGTGCTCCTGCGCTCCCCCAGGGAGTGAGTTACTGGGCAGCTGGGAGTGAGTTACTGCAGGCATTCAGATTCCCATCCTGGGGTTGCTGCTATAGGAAAGGTGGGCCAGAGCCCCAGGTTCCAGTTTCAGGGCCATGAGAGAAGGTGGCATCCAGTGGGTGCCTCTCTTCTACCCAGCTGCTGGAGGCTGTCCTGGCCTCCCATCGCAGGAGACTCTTATCTTGCATCTGTCTCTACTGGCGGGGCTCTTTGTACTGCTCTTCCACAGAAATTCCTTAGGGACATGCAAGTCAGGGCTTTTCGACCGTGTTCATGCCCTAGCCCCAAATGTTAGCACACATCTTCCTAAGACCCTCCGTTGGCAGGCTCTCACTCCCTGTGCCTCCTGTGGGCTTTTCTTGGTTGAGAGAGGAGTCACTTTATTTCCTCAAAGCATGAATGGGGTCCTGGTCTTCCGGGAAAACCCCCTGGGGGGCTTGGGGTCTTTGCTCTGCTTGAGTCTTCTCCCAGGCTTCAGTGGTGGTGTTTTAACCTTAACCTTTGTGTTTAAGCTTATGTGTCTCTCATCAGCCACCCCTGGCCCAATGATAGCAGGCACCATTATCTAAAATAGCTTTGTTTCACCAGCCCTTGAGGGCTGCCTGCTCTGTGCCTGGAAGAGTCCTGGTGACACATGCAAATAGCTCAAGAGCTTTATAGATACATTATAAAATGCTCAACCACCAGCCCAGAGGGTCTGACTCAGTGGGTTTGGGGTGATCCCAGGAATGCAAACTTTCTAGGAGCTCTCTAGACAATTCCAAGGGGAAGCCAGAGTTGATATTTGCTGGGCTAGAGCCCACTGCTCAGTATGGTAGCCTGCTAGGAGTCTGGGTCTTGGACCCACACTGGATTAGAATCTGCAACCTAACAAGGTACCCAGGTGACTCCCGTATATCCCAAAAGCCAAGAATCCCTGGGTAGAATGTGTTGAACACTTTGTTGTTGATCAACAAATAGTCAAATGTTGGGCTGGGCAGCCAAAGGTGTCCCATGGTAGGACACCTTTCTAGCATGTGTGATGCTCTAGGTTTGATCTCAGCACTGAAAACCACTTAAAAATTTTTTTGACATAGGGAGGCTAAAAATACTACTTAATTTTGACCAGCAATCCCTATGAAAAAGCCGTAATTAGTTTTTCCCCAGAGGAGTGAAGCCATGACCTGGGTTAAGTTAGGCCTCAGATGTTTATTTTCCTGGTCTTTGCAGAGGAAGCCATGAAATAGGGAAGCGTACAGATTATGAAATAGGAATAAGTAACACTGACAGCCAATCATTGGGGAGGATCTTAGCTCTGGCTTTAACAGACATTTATTTCTCACATTCAGCGCCGGAGGCTGGGAAGTCCCAGGGCAAAGTGCCCATCGCCGGTGATGTCTAGTGAATTCTTTTCCTAGCTTGCGAAAGGCCTGCTTCTCTCTGTGTGCTCACATGGTGGAGACAGAGCACAAGCTCTTTGGTCTTTTCTTCCTGTCCTAAGGGCACTAATCCAATTGTGGTACCCACCATCCTCATGACCTCATTTAACCCCTCGGATCCCTCCAAAGGCTCCACCTGCAGTACCATCACATTGGGAGTTAGGGCTTCAAGCCCTGAATTTTAGGGTAACACAAATGTTCAGGCCATTGGAAGAACCGATGTTTCTACTCATCTCTGGATGAGTGCACCTGGAGTGTTTGTATACAGCTGAGGATTTGGAACCTGGTGCATCAAAACCTGGTCTGTAGGCGAGAGACACCTGGGGAGCCTGGAGGGTGTAGAGGTCTGACTCATGAAATCAGGACCAGAGACAGATGCTTTCCATGGGTGACTTTTGGAGCTTCTGAAAATCAGAACCCCTACCTAGCTCTTCCACAGTGGCTTCCTGCTTGTCACTGTGCATCCCCCAAGCTTTCCTGGGTCACCCTTTCCAAAGTAGCTCAGTCACAGGCCGTTGAGGCATCTTGTTCTAGCTCCTTAAGGATACCGGATACTGATTCTATCCATTGTTATGCTGTTTGCCTCCTCCAACTAGAATATAAAAGGCAAACGCTCTATTTGCTTTGTAAAACCACAGTATATCAGTTTTTCTATCTGTAAAACGGGATTCAGGGTCCCTAATTACATCCCTATTACATGAATTGATACCCGTAACACGTGCTTAGACCCTAGGTTCTGTTGTCATTGTTATTTCTCATCTGTTTACCCTCGTACGGATACAAAGCCTATGTACAGGAGGTGCTACACTGAAAAGCTATTTGTGGAAGAAAAATTAACAAGCAAGTATCATATCACCATTTATTCTTTACTCTTCTGGAAACAAA